TCATCAACTTGGAGGTTGAACAGGAGGAACTTTTATGGCTCAATTGGTGTCAAATGTTCCTCCAGGTATGCACAGTGTCTGACATTGTGACTGCTGATGGCAGGTTTATTCGTCGCTCCGCGTGGAAGGGGCTCAGGGATGAGTGCTGCCGCTTGCCATACCAATGGCCAAGGACAGTTTGCCCAACACGGCAACACTGGGACCTGTGGCAGACCACCTTGTCTAGAGCCCTGCTTGCCTCCAACGGGCCACATCACCCACTACAACAGCCCTTGGGGCCATGGACTGACCGTCTGGAGGACTGGAATTGGTTACTGTCACCCACCACAGGCCTTTTCCACCGCCAAATTCAGGATGAAATCAAAGAATGTGAAAATCAAGTCAATGATGTTCGCGAATTTGTGGCGAATTTGGATGATAATGAAAATAAAAATGATGAATCTGACGATAATTTGGACGAATCAAGTGACAATGATAATTATGAAAATGATGAGGTGAATAAACAGGACATATTCAGTCCAAGGAAAACAAGGAGTGGTAAATCTTATGTTCAAGATGGAATAAAAATGAGACCAACCAACCGAGATAATCGCAATCAATCAAGGTGTAATCAACAATACCTGAATCAAAAGAAACCAAAGGGCAATTTGTTAAAGAACAGGAGTGCGTTGAGAAAAAAGGAAAAAGTCAAGAAATTGAAAGGTTATTTGAATGAAATAATTTCAATGAAGGAAAATTCAAGGAAAAGGATTCCAAAAAAGAGTCAAAATACAATCTACTATTCCAACAGGTTGGAAATGACAAGAAAGGCAAATATGGGAGAGATAAGGCAACTCTGATTGCACGATTCATGCAATAGATCAAGGATAAAGTCCAAAATGAAGGAGTATCGTTTATCCAACAATACTACCTAAATAAGGGACTGAAAAATATTCAAAGAAGAAGGTGATAAAGCTGTGATGAAAGAGCTTGACCAATTGGTACAAAGAGAATGTTGGGAACCAATTCATGTTGAAGACATGACTGATTTGGAGAAAAGAAGAGCCCAAGATGCTATGATGTTATTGACTGAGAAAAACACTGGTGAAACAAAAGGAAGATGTGTCTACAAAGGAGATGGAACTTGAGAATGGTTATCTGGAGAGGATACTTCAAGTCCAACTGCAGCATTGGAAGCGATTATGATCACATGTGTGATTGATGCGTATGAACGACGAGATATAATGTCTTTGGACATTCCAAATGCATTTATTCAAACACAAATGCCAATAGATGCAAAATCGAGAGTGATGATGAAGATCACTGGATTATTGGTCAACATGATGATACGACTGGAGCCAAGGTATCATGATTATGTTGTAATTGAAAACAGAAAACGAGTGATTTATGTGAGAGTATTGCGAGCCATCTATGGGATGTTAGAGGCCTCTATGATCTGGTACAAAAAGTTGAGAGGAGACATGGAGAAACATGGTTTTATTTTCAATCCATATGATGGATGTATTGCCAACAAGATAGTGAACGGGAAACAACAAACCATTCGATTTCATGTGGATGATTTGTTATCAAGCCACATCGATCCGAAAGTGAATGATGATTTTTGTGAATGGGTGAATCAAAAATATGGTTCAATCAAACCAGTCAAATCTAAACAAGGAAAAATTCACGAATATTTGGGAATGACCCTAGATTTCAGTAAAAGGGGGAAGGTGAAAATTCGAATGGATGACTATGTCAATCGAATGTTGAATGAATTTCCTGTGAAGTTCAAGGAAAATGAAGGGTGTACCACACCAGCAAGTAATGATTTTTTATCAATCGGAAAAGGAGAAAAATTGGATGATGAAAAACATGAAACATTTCACACATTCATTGCCAAAGGATTATTTCTGAGTAAGAGAGCGAGATTGGATATTGCTCCAACTATTTCAGTACTTTCTACAAGAGTACAGAAGCCAAATCAAACTGATTGGAAGAAGCTAGTGAAGCTGATGTATTATCTGAATGGAACAAAGAGAATGCACTTGACGTTGAGTGCAAAAGATTTACGAACTTTCAAATGGTATATTGATGCATCATTTGCAGTTCATCCAGATTTCAGAAGTCACACTGGAGGTGTATTGACTATGGGTGAAGGAGGATTACAAATAATCTTGAAGAAACAGAAGTTGAACAGTCCAAGTTTGACAGAAGCCAAATTGATTGGTGTCGATGATGCTGCAACACAGATATTGTGGACAAAATTGTTTGTGGAAGCACAAGGTTATTCTGTTGAAGAGAACATCCTATATCAGGATACTAACAAGAGTTCAATTCTATTGAAAAGAATGGACGTGATAGTGCCGGAAAGCAAAGCCGAGCTTTGAACATTCGATATTTCTTTATGACTGATCAAGTCAAGAAAGGAAATGTGACTATTGAGTATTGTCCAACTGAAAAGATGTGGGGAGATTTCATGAGCAAATCTCTACAGGGACAAAAATGCTTGGAATTCAGATCATTGATCCAGGGAGAACAAGATTAGGAGCAACGCAATTTCCTTTGATGTTCCGTTGTCATCAACTATGTTAATGAAACGGCAGGAGTGTGTTGGATATATTAGGATTTTCAAAGTACATATTTGGAGAAACGAGAAAATGAGAATACATATGAACGATAGAGAAAAGATGTCGACTGATACGACTAAAGATGAGGACTGATACGACTAAAAATATCGCGCGTGGCGAGTCAGAAAAGGGATCATATTTCTATGGAAATCATCCTATTGATGATGTAAGAAAGCAAGATCCAAGCAATCCCCAAAGTTGGATACTAATCAAAGTACCAACTACAGTGGAAGGTGAACAAATAAGCAGATTGAACTTGCAGCATATCAGGCTGACGAAGAAAGAATTCTGCGAATTTCCACTGAGCTGGAGAAGAAAGAGTCAAAGTCAAAAGTTGACAGATTGTTCTCACTTTTTATAATATAACACAAGCAACGAGTGAATTGGTTGATAAAGTAGGATCTCTGGTTGATCTATATACTTCTATATACTGTAAATTCACATACTTAGAAGGCAACAATACCTGGACAGCTAAATTGCAGTTAATTGAACAGGTAGATTGCAGGCAGCAGTGGATCGCTTACTTCTCACAGGAAGTACAGAAGCGCAGACGCCAAGCTTCTAGAATATTCTGGGAAGTTTGTAAAGCTTTCTTATGGATGCAAAACAGGATATTTTATCCCTTCTGACACTCTGTGTTGAATTGATACGGAGGTCTAGGGAAAGAGCAATGGCTGCAAATCCTATTGGGATCTGTGAATGTTTCCAGATCTGAAGGCAATACGATTCAGCTCACAATCCAAACAGAATCCTAAATGGATATGAATTAATATAGTAATACTGATGTATGGCTTGCTATAGTATCGATAGATCGTTATCGATACAGGAGCTAATACCCTAGCCGCCAAAGATCCTATTTCAGGAGAGAATCAAGAACTAGGGGCGTTGAGGCACCCGCAGCTAGTTGTATTCTCATATTTCTGACATTAAGCTTAGACATATATACTGAAGTACCATCATAGACGTACAGACCAGGAGCAATGCATTTGAATTTCATTACATGCCCCTCCGAAATGTGTACGCTAAAAGCATTTTCAGTCTCAGTGTCCAGAGTCACATGAAATTGTTTGGCAACCATTGTCACAATGGCAGGAGCGTGTTGGGATATGACGAAATATGAGTTTTTACGTTCCAAAAGAAACTATTCAAATACGAGGTTTTCGACACGTGCGATCGGACTTTGATCGTGCGCGATGTCGGGATTTGACGCAAGTATGCCGGACGCAAGTCTGTTGGACAATCTGTATCCACACAAACAGGAAAAGATCCTGTACAAGTGGAATATTGATGTTGTGTACGATGCAGTAGGGAATAATGCAAGATATCCCAAAG